CCACCCCCCACTCCCACCCCTGACAAGACCGCCACGGCCGCCCGGCCTGGTGCCACCGGCCCTCGCAGCTGACACACAGCAGTCAGACGCAGACACCTGGGGTGCCCGTCCAGCCCCAGGTCGGGGCTCTGCGCTGCCCCGCACTGCGAGAGCTGGGGAGGAAGCTGGCTGCCACGGTCAAGGCCCTCTGGGCCGGGAACGGGTCCCGGGGGTCAATCCTCCTCCAAGACACCCACGCCCGCCCCGCCGCCCCCACACCCCCACCCTACACCCCCACACACTTGCCCACACACACTCTGTCCTGGGGGCTCGTATCTATGGCCCCTTCTCTCTGGGGAAGGGGGGTGGACGCCCCGAGGTCCGGCAGGTGTGTGCTGGGGCCCCCCAGGCGGGAGGGGGAAGGGAGGAGGCCGGGACGCAGAAGCTGGGGGTGCTCGCTCTGAGCTGGGGACACGGCGGGCCTGGGGAAAGGGTTTCCCGCAGACTCCATCTGTGGACCCTGGGGAGGAAACAACACCCGCCCCCCAACACCCGCTTCGCCACCCCTGAAAGTTCCAAGTCACAATGTCCTGGTCTCTTGCTACAGATCGGCCTCTGCGAGGTACTGAGCAGCCATGTGCCTGGCACGCACACACGCACGGCCTCTGGCAAGGTGGCCCGGTGACTTTGCCCACCGGTTCAAACCAAGGTGTCCCAAGAGCCGAGGGGAGGGCCGGTCAGGGACAGGGAGCTGGGTGTACCGATGACACCCAGTGGGACCTCTCTGTACAAGGCCAGAACTCCAGACAGAGCGCCTGGCGTTCCGGCGTGTGGCCTGGGCCGTCACACGTCACTGATGGCGCGGTGGTCCCCAGTCGGGCTCCTGGTGCCTCGAAGAGGGGCTCCTGTGAGTAGGGACAGAAAGTCGTCCCCCGGGGCCTGCTCCTTTACGGGCGGCGGCTTAAGGCATCCTTCCGACCCGCCTGTGTCCTGAGTCGGCCTGACGCTGGAGGCCGCGTGGGTGGCCAGAGGGGACACACACCCCTGCTTCATTCAGCACCGGGCCTGGAAGGCGAGCGTCAGTGACCCGGCTGGCCCGCAGGCGGGACGCTGAACGCCACCTGCCCCGCGGGCCCGCTTGGTGCCCAGGGTTCGCGGACCCCACGGGGAGCTGCGCAGTGCAAACCCCCGCGCAGAGCAAGGCGGCGGGAGGGTCCTCGCTGAGCGCGTGGAGCTGTCCATCCCTGAGGAGGGGGCGACACCGCGGCGTCTCCTGCGGGCCCGGGCATTGTGCAATCTGTGGAGGGTGTTTTTCGAAACCTGTTTTCTTTCCTTAACGAATTGAGTTTGACACCTGAGGTGAAGGACATCGGGGTGCGGGCGGGGGGCGCTGCTGA